ACTTAGTATACCAAATTACCAATCTTATACCATACTTAATTAAGGGTCTAATTCATGGGCTGTTTTTACTCCTTAATTAAAGGTATCCATATCTAATTAATGGGGCGGGTAATATACAAAATATGCACATTTTTGGTAATAAACTTTCATATATGATATAGGAAGGAAAAAATCCCTTATTAGTTTATGCGCAATTAAAGTCTATTTGGCAAAACATTACAAAAATGTACACTCTTCTTATAGGCAGGCCAAAGTGAAATTTTGTATGATAATCAACATTATTTACACAGTATTTCCTCCGGTCCACTTTAGTTGATTTTTTGACCTTTTTTTTTTTATGATCCACAATATTTATTAAGGTTAATATGGTCAATTACATTGTTAATTAATACTAAAATGTAGATTTGTGTGAATACAACAAAAAAAATTAGTTAAAGTGGACCGGAGGGAATATGCAACTTGGCAATAATCCAAAAAAAACTTTGGTATTCTTGAAAATCAATTCCATTGAAATAACAGGGGATAAAGACAGAACCTAGAAAAATCACAACTTTTAGTACTGTACATTTCACTCTCTATGTCATGTATACCTGCTCTTTGAAACAAGAATGAAATAAATTTTCCAAATAAGATGTAACTATTCTGCTAATGCTGCCAAACAAACTCAAGTGTCCCATATCATCACCACAGCAATCACTCCAACACCTAACAATACAGCCAAAAACTTGAAATGAGGCTTGTCAACTATGACCATTTTCTGAGGCTTGTATCCTCTTGAAAGCAAATGATTAATGGATACATAGACAAAAACCCCACAAGCCAATCCCATTGATATAGCAAAGATCCAGTCTGCTACAACTCCTTGAGTTGTGGCATCAATTATGATTCCAATGGCAACACCAATTGGACTAGAGATGGCAAAGGCAAAAGCATATGCTGCACAAGATAAGAGCGGACGATTTGGGATCATCCTAAGTAGAGCTATTCCCATTGCAATAGCAGCAAATATCTTGTGTAGACAGACAGTCCAAAGAGCTCTCCAAGCATCGGCTTTTGAATCTGCGACGCCAATGGCAATTCCCTCAAAGACAGAATGGAAACACAGCGCCACGATCAATAGGATGCTATCGCCAAGTGAAGATGCAGTTGTAAGAGGTGCTTTTGAAAAGTAATCTTCTCTGCCATCACAGACCTGTGATATATAGCAATTGACACATATTAACTTAGCCACTCAAACAAGAACAGAACTTTACAAATATAAGGAATATGAGCACATAAAAAGGTTCTTAGAGGAAAATAAATAAAGATTTATCTCTAACCTGTGACTGCCCTACCCCATTGCCTTTTCCATTTTCAGTATCACCTGGAACAAAACATGGGATTTGAAGCATCAGCAGAGATTGCTTTATTGCATAGAGTTGTGAGATTCCTACTTTTCAAGGCTTAAGCCATGATTTATCATTCAAGAATTCCTATTTAAAAACCTCAAGAATGGGAAATTCGGATGCTGTAATTATAACTAAACAGGGGTCAAGACTCTGCATTAGTTTTCTAATTCTTATAACAGGAGTGGAGTATTTTTATTCCGAAAAACAATCCGAAATTGACCGTGATGATGATTAGGGGTGGCAAAATGAAAAAAGAAAATAGTTATCCACCCATATTATCGATTAAAAACGGATTGGATAATGAACTTATTTTAAAACGGTCAAATATGGATAAGAATTAAAGGGTTTAACTTTTACATTTATAAAGTCTCAAATTGGGGGTGCCTCAAGTTTGGGAGACTAGGAATCCATGGATATCCGCCGGTTAACTCATTTCTTAATCTGTATTAAATATGGATCCGGTCGAATAATTTATCCGTTTTTGCATTAGTCATTTTTTTATCCTCATGCCCGACCCAACCCGCCCGTTTGTCACCTGATGATTAACTAGCAATATAAAACAATTAATCTACAATTCTTGACGTCATATCATGAACTATGAAGCTCTCCTGCTACGCCAGATTATAAGTAACTTGGAAGCAAGCAAAAGTTCAAAGTTAGGTGCAGGATGCTTTAGAAACAGAACGTATTCGAATTTAAACAAAGCTCCAATTAACTAGCTTTGCTTAAATTATGTACAACAGGAGAAAAATTATTGTTTTTTCGCTTTTTAAATTTCTCATTTCTTCTGGGGAAAATAATTAAAATGCCACTAGTACTTTCACCATCCTAGTTTGTATGACGAATTTTGCTCATTAATTGTTAAGTTGACCAATTTTCGAAGCTAAATTAGATCAATTAACTCTTGTTTTCCAGAACTAAACTTTCGATATAAAAGTCAAATTTTGCTAAGTGGGCGTTTGGACATAAGAATGGTGAAATTCCGAATAAAAGTGAAATTCTTTTAAAGTAAAATTGGTACTTGAAAATTAGAGTTATGTTTGGACATAAGTACAATTTTGTGCTGTTTTTGAATTTTTGTGAGTGCTGAAGTGAAATTTTTTGGAAAATAGGTTTTTGAAAGTTTTTAAATTTTTGAAAAATTGCGAGAAAATTAAAATTTTATGGTCAAACATTAATTTAAAAAAATGACAATTTTTTGGAAAAAAAATTATGGCGAAGCGAGCCCTAAAACACCACACTGTAAAAAGTAAGTTAAAAATAATAAAGGTGCACGAACCTTGGAGCTGAACATCGTTGCTGTTATTGTGCTTAGCATAAACAAAGCAGATAACACAATCAGCCAACATAGTAAGCAAATAACCAGCACATGCCAACATAAAAGCAAAAGGGTATTCTTTATTCGTCAAATCTCCAAATGTCTCATTTGAATCACTCAAGAAATGCATAAGTGCTGTCCCTAAAAACACACCACCAGCAAACTGTGTTCCAAGAACCAAAAACCCTTCATTCCATTTCATAAAATAAGGTGATATTCCACCAAGAAAAGTCCCTACAAACACTATAATCAAACACCATATTTTTACAAGAACCAACGGTCGAGATCTCAGATGGAGTTTATCGGAGGGTGCAGATGAGTCGGAATCTGCGTCAGCATCTCCGTCGTGAGCACCGCCGTGGGCAGCGGCGGAGATGATGAGAAGAAGAAAGAGAGTGAGGAAGAAAAGGGGTTGATAACGTGCCATTGGGGTTTAGTGAAAATCATTGAGGGAAGATTGGTGAAGTGCGTTTTATTTTATAGTAGTGGTTAAATTTGGAGAAATTTGGTGTACTAACAAAGAGATTAAGACATGAGAGAGAGAAAATCAGCGTACTGCAGCAAATGGAGAGTTTTGTTTGTATTTGAGATAAAAATGGAACATGTGAAAGTACGGTACTACTACTTACCATAAATATAATTGGTTCACGTTTTGGTGAATATTTGATATACGGTACTCCTACTTACCGCAAGAGTGATTTTATTTTGTGTCTCACACAACTTACATTAGTTGTGTGAGACCTCTTTTTATCTCACATATTCGTGGATCCATATCTTACACTTTCGGGTCCACAAAATATAGGACCACACAGTTGTGAGACAAAAAAGATGCCTCACACAACTAATGTCAGTTGTGTGAGGCACAAAATAAAAATTTTCCTTACCATAAATACAATTGGTTGACGTTTTTAATGACTTGCGACATGATACACATTCCAAGAGCATCTTACTTAGGCAGCGTTTAGACATAAATTTGATTGAAATTTAAAAAAGAGTTTTTAAAATTAGAAGTTGAAGTTATGTTTGAACATATATTTTATTTGAAAAAAGGTTGAAGTTTTGTGAGGGAAGAAAATATTTAACTCAAAAATTAGTTTTTGGGAACTTGAAATTTATTTTCAAAAATTCATCATATTCCATGAACAAACAATATTTTTTAAAGAGAAAATTGCCAAAATCTAACGGGAGCTTTATTTAACTTCTACAACTCATTTGGATAACTTTTTAAGAATGATTCAGAAAAGTATATTTGAAAGAAAGATGGCCTGCTTTCTCTACCCAAAAACAAAAAAAAGGTTAAAAAGGCTGTCCTTTTCAAAATTGAAATTTACAAATTCATGTGAGGTTTGGTACCAGACAAAGCTTGCTGCTGCGTCAAGTGTGAACCTTATTAGAATTAAGATAGAGGCCAAAGACTTAACCATCATTAGTGCCGGGCAACTGCAGCGACGACCAAGACTTTGATTTTTCTCATATTCCACACCTTACCCAATCACATGCTGCAATCTCGCAGAATGATACTACAAAAGAATGACATATAGTCACCGTGAAAAAAAACAACAATACACAACACAGATTCCCTTTTTGTACAGTGTATTCTGAGCACGGACATATGTCTCCCAAAAATATTTTTATGCTTAAGTTTTCACTATAAATGGACCAACTGAATCAAGATTCAGCCTTACACAACAAGATTTGACAAATTTACATAACCCCAGGATTAATGGGTGAACAACTAGTGGTTGCTGAGCCATGTCTTACTTTCTGTTATTTAAACTATTTATATTTTAATAATGAGAAGTTACCAATAAACCACCAGTGTGCCCCACCCGTGACCTAACCGACCCCCCCCCCCCCCTCCTAATAGGAGGAAACAGAGAGGCAAAATATTAAAGATCTAGATTGATCAATTTTTTTCTGTCATAACTCAAGATTTACCATAATAAAGGATTTGTGACTAGCAATTAGCATCATATATTCCTCCCTTATTCTGTGATGCGAACTAATCTACCCCAGTTAAGGCTATCTGCACATGCAAAATTACACTTGAAGTTATGACTGGATTAGGCAAAGTTACTTGCCCATTACTTTGCTGTAAAAGGGCTTCAGTCTGGCTAGGGTAGCCAGTTTGACTTCGCACAAAGCACATGAAATACCAGAAGGTAAGCAGAATCCTATTTCTTTTTCTTTCTTTTAACTTCACCTCAACATCAATCTAGAATCAGTTCATCAGCTAAAGAGAAGGATAAATACGACAAACTCATGCAGTATCAATTCAGAGAAGAAACATATGATGAATAAAGCTGCCGCTGGACAAAATTTAGACATTCTCCATTATTACTGTGGAACTAAATGAGAAAAAAATGACATTGCTTGGCAAAAAGATTACAGGCACGTTGTTAGAGGAGTAACATTATTAAAGTGAATTCTTTAGTTACACAAAAAATGGATTAAAGTTTATTGTATTGTGTCAACTGTTTTCATCTTCCGAAGAAAGCCTTTTTGAATTCAAACTTCCAAAAGTAACACTCAGCACTAGCGACGCCATAGACGACCATGCTGCTTCTGCTCTTGCATACGCCTGCATCAACAGGTCATTATGTTAACACTATCATGCGATATATTATCACATAATTTAACCTAACCTAACCAGTAACAATCTCATCCAAAAATAACAAGCTAAGCCACCAATGATAAAAAGAAAGTATATTCAAACTAAAGGCTTGGAATTGGGGAAAAAGAAAAGAAAATCATCAGGAGATGAACAATCAACAAACAGAAGGTTATGTTGCTCGGACTCTCCGAAAAAATCATCGGGTGTGTGTCGGATCCTCCAAAGTAGTGCCTTTTTGGAGGATCCGACACAGGCCCGACAACATTTTGGAGAGTCCGCGCAACATAGTCAGAAGGCATATAACTACATATTTTCCAGGTTAAGAGAAGAGATGATAAGAGACAAACATGTAAGAAATTGTGTTAAAGGTTGATCTGTGGGACTGAAACAGAAAGTGCCCCCAATCAAACAACAAAACATTTCTTGAAATCAATCACCCATATGGAGCCAAAAAGAATGAATAAATGAAACATTTCTAGATAGATCAAGTTGGGGGAAATTTCTATGCATCTTCAAAATAAAAAAGAAAAAAAAAAGCACACCTTAATACAGTTTTATACATTTAGAACTCTACAGCATTTCTAGATTGTGAAAGTTAGAGCGGGCACTCCAACAAACTAAAAATAACAGAAGCCTCCTCTCTACTTCAATGTAGAGTAAGAGTGACATTAACATTAAAAGTTACCTAACCACTGCTTCAAAATTCCAATATCGTCCGCGTTCATTTATAACTACGATGTTAAATTTTAAATTCTTTAAATATATAATACTTTCACTAGAGCTGGTTGATAATTCATGATAAGACTATAAATAACTGATTGATAATTCTTTATCCGCTAAATAAGCATAGTGATTTTTTAGACGTAATCAAGATATAGTTTAAGACAGAGATGTATTACTCAATTAGATCGTTTAAACAAAAACATCAAAATTAAAAGTAATACAATATTGGTAATAATAAACAAACTAGCACCATTCAGAAGGTAACATAAGAAATTTTCTCGTGTTATAAGATTGACTAACTAATAATACCATCTTTAGGAGGTTACACGAAACAAAAGGAGATTCTCTCAATCTTGGAACTAATCCGATCCACATGTTACAAATTTTCCAACAAGCAATTTTCTTTCCCTGTGGGAGCCAGGTGGAGCAACTAAAAAGTAGAAACTAGCAATGCACTTTATAGGACCAGCCCTGGCAAAGAAACAGCCCCCTTAATTTCAATACCTTCACACACCTTTTAACCCTTTATTAATTATAGTATTTTGGTCAATCGTTGAATAAAATAACCTGAAAGGAAACGGGGGACACGCGCGCAGGTGGGT